CGCTCTTCCATGAAGCCGGGGCCCTGCCACTCACTGGCCACAGCCCATCCCTGAGCCTCGATTTCCAACAGGGTATTGGGAGGACGACATGAGATAGTATGTGAAGAGGACTTAACACAAAGATAAGTGTCCAACCTGGAGATCCATGGACTTGGATGGGGAAAAAAACCAACATCTTAATTTTCACCCATCTCTTATAGAAATTTAATGTTTCCTTCATTTATGAATGTACCAGACCACAGTAGTCTTAGCAGCAGCCCCTGTAGGCAGTGACGCCAATAGAAACCAAAAGTGTTTCCGTATCACATTTATGGCAGTTGGGGATATCTCGAAAAATCATTTATTCTCATCACTAAAGAATTAGAGTGGGGGCTTCCCCGGTGGCACAGTGGTTAAGAATCCACCTGCCAATGCAGGCGACACAGGTTCGGTCCCTGGTCCAGGAAGATCACACATGCCGCGGAGCAACTAAGCCCGTGCGCCACAACTACTGAGCCTGCGCTCTAGAGCCCGCGCTCTAGAGCCCATGAGCCACAACTACTGAGCCCGTGTGCCGCAACTACTGAAGCCCGCGTGCCTAGAGCCCATGCTCCGCAAGAAAGACAAGCCGTGGCCATGAGAAGCCCGCGCACCACAATGAAGAGTAGCCCCTGCTCGCCGCAACTGGAGAAAGCCTGCGCGCAGCAACAAAGACCCAACGCAGCTTAAAAAAAAAAACAAAAAAAGAATTATAGCAATGATTATGCCTGCTGCTAGATCTTTTTATCTAATGTAATAACAAAAAAGAATGTGTCACTATATGTGGAATTCGATGTCTTAATGTGTACGTATTTATATTTTAATACCATTGATTTCCTTTGAAATCCAGTGTACTTTGTAGTGCACATTTTAAAACTCTGAATAAGGTTTATAGTCTTTTCCAGAATACCAGAGGGATCCATGGCACAAAACTGGAGGAGAGTCACTTGGCTCGAGAGGGAGGCCCATGGGGCCCCAGCAGCCCTGGCAACTCCAGGTGAGCGCCTGCCAGTGGATTTGGGTGGCAGCGGGAGCGAGTGGCCAGGGCTGCTCAGGACAATAATTAGCAGCAGCTCAGCACACCTGCCCATCCAAGCAGGCTTGGCTCCCACCTACGCAAGGGCTCGGGAAGATGCTGGGCCAGCCTCTGGGCCAGTGGTTAGGCTCGATCTATTATTAACCTACAGCTTGGGGCCAGTCCCTGCCTCATGCTGCACGGGTTGGAGTTCTACCAGCTGCTCAGCTCCCCATCAGCCAAGCTCTGACTCACGAAGACAGTGGGATAGTGGTGGCTTCTGGGTGCAAATGCGGACTAAGGGAGCTGGTACCGCAGACTAGGCAGGGGCTTGGAGGCTGGAGTCCATGGGGTCTTGTTCTGGTCCCATTACTTCCTTCTCATGTGATTCTGGGCTAGGCTCTTCCCTCACTGGATCCCTGCTTCTTATCTGAAAATGGAGGGGTTACACGGTGCTCTCTACTCCCGGGATTCTAAAAACTGGCCAAGTTGGAGGCTTGAGCCCTCAGGGAGCCAGTTCAATTTGCTCTGTTCCCTAGGCCAGTGTTTCTTTATCTTGTTGAGGCCCATATGCCTCTGCAAAAATCTGAGGACAGTGATGGTCCTTCACGCCAGAAAAATGTGAACGTACTTTCGCATATAATTTTGCGCCTAATTTTAGGGGTTCACGGAAGCCCCTAAAGCCCGCTCTTAGGCCTCAAGGTGAAGACTGGCTATTTCAGACCAGGTCCACTAATTCTGGACTCCCTGGTGAGTGCTCTGAGCTTCTGCTTAATCCTTAACTCTGCCTCTGAATGAGCTTCACCATCTCGGAGAGTCACGGAACCTCTGTGAGTCCCTATTTCCTCACCTGTGAAGTGGGAAGTCAAGGAAAGACAGACACATCAAGTGCCTGGTCCACTGAGGGGGCTCTATAAATAGCAAGCCCCGTCCCATCCCTCTGCCCTGCCGAGGGAGGGAGGGTCAGCTGCCGCCCTGGAAATGTGGTCTCAGAGGCCCCCACACCTACTGGGAGCACGCGGCTCAGCACTGACACAGTAATTTCTGATGATCCCCGTTGGCCTGAACGATCCTGAAGAGTGGGCTGCCCCGAGAGACTCACTCTACAATGCTCGGCAGCAGGTTTGTCTGCCCTGAGGTGCTGAGGAAGTCACTTATTATGCTGAGGACACTGGCCTGAGGAAGAGGAGAGGCTGCTGGGAGAGCAGGGCCTGGCCCAGGCCAGGGGCCCTTTCCTCCTCCTGGACAACCTACGGTAGCCTGACCCCAGTCTGGATGGCAACCCAGGGGACGGGGGCACCAACCTGGACCTGCCGGAGAAGCAACCAAAGCACTGACGTGGGAGGTGTTGAGAGAGACAAGGAGAAGCCTTGAGTGGGCTGCAGGAAGCAGCTGGGGACCGTGCTCAGCAGAGGGTGGATGACGCCTGGGCGGGGGCTCTGAGGGCGCTTCCCAACAGCAGCTCCCTACACTGGGGGCCCACCACGCCCTGGCACCGTGCGACACGTGAGACAGCGTTTTCCTCACGTTCAAAATGAGGAAACTGACTTTCAGGGAGTTCAAGGAACCTGTGTAAAGTCATAGAGCTTGTTTTTGGTGGAGTCAGGACTCAATCCCAGGACCACACCACCCTAAGGCAAAGCAACATACCTGTGGGAAAATGTCTGCTGGGAGGCAGGGCAGCATGTGGGAACAGCACACGCTTTGGGGGTCCTATAGACCTGGACCCAAATCTGTGCGACTTTGGACAAGTTACTTACCTTCTCTGAGACTTGGGCTTTCTATCTATAAAATGGGAAGCATACCACCACCTGCCAGTGAATCTTGGTGAGTCCTCATGCATGCCTGGGGTAGAGCACTTGATCAGGGACCCAAAAGGTGGGAGGTGGGAGGATGCTTTTGCCCCTCACCTCTCCAACATCTGTTGGGGAGGTGGCCCCTGCCCGCCCTCACCCTCTAAGCCCCGGCTTACCCAGCACGAGGAAAGACAGGACCCACTGGAGTACCGAGATGACCTGTAGCTGCTTTTCCACCTTGGACCTATTGAGCCAAGTGATGGAGAAGAGGTCCTGGAGAGCGGAGAGGATGCTGGAGCCAGTGCCTGCGACAGAAGAGAGATGTCAGCCTGTCCACCCTTCCCTCCAGCCTCAGAGTCCCCATCATCAAGCCATCTCCCACAGACACCTTCCTAGACATGAGAGGAGCACAGGCCAACACATCAGACAGATCTGGACTCACATCCCAGCCCTGCCACACAACAGTTTTGTGTTGATAATTCTGGGCTGTTCACATGCTTTGCTTCCCTGTGCCCCAGTTTCTATATATACCCAACGGGAATGACGTCCCCCCTCAAAGGGTCATTTTGGAGAACAAACAGGGTATCCAAAGAGGCGGGGGGGGGGGGGCTTGCCGTAGTTGCCAGTTTTCTTCCCTCCCCTTCACCCCAATCAAACTCCTGTCTTTATCCTTTACCTGGATCTAGTACAAATATTTAATCTTTGCTCTCTGTGTCTGTGAGGCCAAGGACAGAGGGCCAACATCCAACCTGCAATGTTTTTTTCCTCCAAGTGTACTTTGCGCACCCCCAACCCTTGACCCACGCCCCACCCCTGCATCTCCAGGACTAATACCCTTTCCCAGTGAGCTGAGCCCTGCTGCCCCACCGCCAACACCACTGATACCACCTTCAGAGGGATTCACACTTTGAGCTTCATCTCAGTGCCCAAAGCTTGGGGCCCAGAGAGGAACCAGCCAGGAACCTCTGCTTCCAGTGGCCAGTGAGCTTCAGAACACTGAGGGCTGCAATTCTGTTTGCTACCAAGCAAGTGCCAAGCCTATAAGTTAGGACAAGATGTGCCCAGTTAATTGGTTCTGTGGCCGTGGCCCCAGGATGACGCCCTGGACTCCAGCGGCTGATGGGTAGAGGGACCGGAAAGCCTGGCGATTGCAGGAGAGGCAGCGCTGGGGAAGAGCATGGGCGAGTCTCCTGACATAGCCCATTCCTTCCGGCAGCTGGACCAAAGGAGTGCCCCCCTTCAAACCTCCACATGTGCTAAGCCCCAACTGCACGCCCTTTGCTCAGCACATCTTCACCTAGTGCCTACCTACTGTGTGCCGGTCAAACATTCCTTCACACGACCCACTCTGCCAGGCCCCCCGCTGAGTCACAATCTTGTCCTTGAGGGTCTCGTGACCTTTCACCCTGGCCTACTGCAGAAGTAGGAGGGCGAGCGGTATAAGGGCTTACACTCAAGCCCTTGTGTTTCTTCAAAATCTGTCTTTCAACAAGGTTACAGCAGAGATTAGAAAGGGACACAACCCTCATCTGCCGAAAGTTAACAATTACTTTGACTTTCGGGAGGCATGTAAATAACACCAGGCCTCAAGGCAGACACATCAGTCCTGTCCCCTTCACTGGTCTAATGGAGCAGAAGGAGGGGGCTTGGCACGGCAGAAGAGTCGGATCCCAGCGCCAACCGTGGTTCCACTCGCTATGCGACTTCAGGCAAGACCTCGAGGGCGCACAGCCATATCCCCAGGGCATGGCACATACTGGGTGCTCAGTAGCATCTACCGCTCCACAGGACACCTGGGGCGGAGGTGGTAGTGTGTGAACTCACCAAAGCAGATGAATAGGCTGAGCTACACAGGCATGCCAGGGGTTTAGCACATAACTGCTCCTTCGCCCTCTAGGTAAATATCCTACCATCACAGCCGTTTCTACCTTCACACTTTTCCAACACCCCATCCTGGAGCCCGAGGGCCCTCTGGGGTCATCTGGTACAGCCCAATTGAACATTTAGGGACGCTGAGGACAGGAGGTTGTCTAGGGTTACCTAGCCAGGGCCAGAACCCAGGATCCCTGCCCCCTGCTCAGGGTACAGCAGGTCCAAGGGTGGCCTGTGCTCAAAAGTGGGGAGAGTGTACTGGGGGAGCACAGGCGGGAGGGAAGTGAGGTCAGGCATAGGCCTGAATCCCAATCCAATGGGCCGATCTGCCAAGTCATTCCCTAGCCACTGGGAATGTGCGGGATGAAGGGAAGCAGGGGCCATGGTAGACGAGTCCCTGCCCTGGGTCTGGGGCAGGCTGGGTGCCTTGGCTGCAGAGAGGATAGAATGTTCTCCAGCACCTTCCTACTCAGAGTCTGGTCTCGGAGCTGTTTAGAAATGCAGGGCCCGAGCCTGGATCTACTGAACCAAAATCTGCATTTTAACAGGACACTCAGTCCAAAGTCTTAGGTAGGGTAAGCTTGGGGTGGGGGAAGGATGCACGGAGGAGCTGGTGGCCTCCAGCTTCTACTGGGCAGGGGGAAAAAGGTGATGGAAGGAAAGGCATCAGACATTGTCTCATCTGACCACTTCCTACTGCAAACAGGACCCCAGAGAGTGCTTGAGGAATGTCTGAGGAGTGCTCAGAGAAAGGGCTCACTGTCTAGCCCCTGCCTTTGGGTCAGGACCAACGAACTGGTCGCACTCACTACATGGAGCTCTCCTGCTTTGGAGGTGGGGTACGCATAGTAAGTCCATATTGGTGACACATCCCCCACTGAAACAACTGAAAAATTCTTCCTTGTTTCCTAATCCAAGTCCATCTGCTATTACAGGTCTCTCACAATTAGCTAAAGTCAGGGTGCAGGAAATGTAGACTGTCTTATTCAACCGTCACCCTATTATCCACACAGAGGAAGGCCTGAAGGGCTCCCACAAGCCCCAGGGCAGCTTGGCCAGAGCTAGGCTTTTCCCACACTCCCCAGTCTGTCCTCCCTGCCTCGGCCCAACTACCGCCCATAGCCCGCGCTGCAACCAACTAGGAAATGCAAAGTCCACTGAGGAGTGGCAGGTGTTCCTGTGGACGGCACAGTGAGAGGGCTGCCTGGAGGGGGAGGCCGGGAGGGTGCTGCCACTCTGTGTCTCTCGGCTGCCTCCTGGCCAGACCATCCCGACCTGGCTGACCACAGAGCCCAGCCCTGGGAGCTGGCCTGCCCAGGATGCTGAACCACAGGCCCAGTGGAAGCCCCCTGTGGATCTAAGAAATATGCAGTCATTGCTCCCCTGCCTAGACAGCCGCTCCTTGCCTTGCCCACCTGATGACCCCCAACAGTGAGATAAGGCAGCTTGTCCTTCAAAACCCAAACCGGCGAGCCTTTGGAGAGAGGTCACCTTTCCTTCTCTGGGATTATCAGCTCTAAGGCCCATGCAAGCGTGGAACCCTCTAGGGCCATCTCACCAGCCCCCACCCATCTTGGAGAGAACCTGTCAGTAGATGAAGTCGGGAGAGGCCAGCAGAACAGAGAAATAAGAGAGGAATGGAGTCCTCCTTCCAGGTTCCCACAGCCCCTCACCTGGTACCGACTGCTGATTACAAGTCCACTCTCCCATCACACTGGGAGCTGCCCAAGGGCCTGGGTCTGATCCATGGCTTGGTTCCCAGTGGCCTCTCAGAGCCTGGCCCAGAGTCAACACTCAGCAAGGTTTGCTGAGCAAAATGATGAGCACGTCTCTGCTCTGGCTGATCTTCAGGCCCCCCTCCCTAACCCCTGACTCTCTCTCTCTGTAGGGCTGGGTGACAGGTAGGCGGCCCGCACGGCCCATGCAGCTTCAGGGCCTCCAAAGCACTTCCATAGGCACTCTGGTTCCTCACCAGTCCTGTGAGTTTGGCATCATCACTGCCATTCTGATGGTGATAAAGCCTCAGGGAAGTGACACAGCCAAGGTCACTTGGCCAGAGGGTGGCAAAGTTGGACTCAATTCAGGCCTAACTTCTAGGCCTGCATTCTGTCCCTGTGCTGCAGGTCTCCCCACGTTCCTTCTCTCTTCTCCCCAAAAGAAAGTGGGGGAAGGCTGGGAGGCGACAGGAGAAAATGCATGACCTATTTTCCTCTACAGGGGCAGGTGAGGAGCAGGCATCTTGAGCAGTAAGTTAAATGTCAGCAGGCCTTGGGGTTCCAGTCCCAGTTGTACCACCAACTCCTGTGTCACCTTGGCCAAGTCACTTCACCTCTCTGGGCTTTGGTTTCCCCACATATAAAATGGTGGTGGGGAGGATGAATTTTATGATCTCTCTGACTGCTTAGACTCTGGTGTCCACCCTCCTGAGGATACCACCTAGAGGCTCACCACCCTGCAATAGCCCTGGTACAGCTGCCCGGCAGATGGGAAGTGGGGCTTCAGCTGGGCACCCCCAGGTCATTGCCAGACCTCACCACTCAGCTGTCAGCGAGACAAGGAGCTCATAGGGGGTTATTGCATGAATCAACAAATGCAAAAGTCCCAGAGGCAGCTAAAGGCCTGGATGCCCAGGTCAGACTGAGCTGCCTGACAGGAGGGCCCCAAGCCCTATCAGTGAGGACCCCAGAGATGGGGTTGGGGAGCGAGCCTCTCTCGCCCTCTCTGAGCATGAGTTTCCCTCACCCCACGATAAGAAGAGAACCCACTTCCTACAGATGGCTTATTTTCATGAAGGAAGACGAGAAAGGCCACAGAGTAACTTGACTCATTCTATGAAGAGAAACTGCCGGTAACCAATCCAAATAGCTGCTCCAGGGCACCACTGATTTCACCATTTATTTTATACAGCTCCTTTGCTCCTGGACTTGGGGAGGGCAGAGGGAGTGGAGCTGCCAGAGAGGCCCAGAGCAGCTCTCTTACCTCCAGAGAGGAACCCCCTGCCCCCATGTCTATACGGAGCTTCCCTGCCCCACAGCACTCTCCGGGAAGGCCGACAGGCAGGGATGGGCAGCCCCATTTTACAGAGATGGAAACTGAGGCAAGGTGAGGCCAAAAGATGTTAAGCCATTTGCTTGAGGTCAGGATATAGGGGAGCCAGGACTCTCGGCAGGCATTTGAGTTCTGAGTCCCTCACCATTTTCATGATGCCAGGCTCTTGAGGGCTGGTCCCCACTACACAAGCCAGTCTATACCCTGACTTCAGGAACACACCCCTGGTGAAGGGAGAGCTGCCTCTCTGTCCCAACCATGTCCCAAGTTTCATGGCAGGTGGGGATGGGTGTGTATCGCCTCTTTGCCCAACATCTGATAGTAAAGTGACCAGGCCGCACCCAGGACTGATGCAACCAGGGCTTCCTCTCGCACAGGCTTGAGG